GATCAGCTTATCGTTAAGCTTTATGTCAAGGAATTCGGGATCTGCTCTTTCGGTCGCGTTTGTCTTCTTACTCTCCGCTCGTATCGCGAAGAAGTCCTTGTGGTAGTATAGATGCTTTGATGACCCTGGCGCGCTGCTGGTTGTTGTCGTTTCGTCTTCGCTGCTGTACTGGCACGATGTTGCGTCCTCTGCTTGGCTCTGTTCTCCGATGTAGTTTACTGGCTTGCTTCGGCATGCTGCTTGGATATGACCTTGCTTGCCACATTCGTTGCACTTTACGTTTTTGAATCGGCACTTGGATGCCTTGTGATTGTTTCGATTACATCTGTAGCACTTGAATTCGCCTTGCTTGCTATTTATCTGTGATTTCTTTTGTCGTAACTTTGTTTTTCTTCGTTAGCGAGAATTTTGTACACTTCTGCCTGCGTATTTGATTTTGGGTCCCAAGCTTTGCTTGAGTTTCGAGCATTTTCCACTGCCTTTTCACGTGCCTGTGCCTCTTTTAACGCCTGATCAAACGTAAGTTTTTCCGTTTTGAACAATGCAATCCGCGTTTCTTGGTCCCTTATGCCACACACAAATCGATCTCTGCATGAGATTGATAGGTCCGTAAAGTTGCAGTGCAGGGATAACTTTTTCAGTCGCGCTGCGAATTCGGATACGCTCTCTTGGATACCTTGGCGAGCTTGATTAAAGTTGCAGCGCTCCATCACTTCCGATGGTGCTGGGGCAAGGTGGTCTTGCATCAACTGCTTTAACTCGTCGTATTTCTTATCCGCCGGTTTTATTGGCGCGCAAAGATTTTTGACCAACTTGAATGCGTCTTCGTCAAACCTTGTGAGCATCACGGCCGCTTTTTTTTCGTCCTTTGTGTCCTTCGCTGTGAATAAAATTTCCAGCCTGTCGATGAAAATTTCCCAGTCATCCTTGCCGAGCACAAATTCCAACTTTGTGCCCTCTGAGGTCGCCATTTCCGTGTTTTTGTCGCTGCTCGTGCTTGCACTCTCACTGGATTCAATTTCCTTTTCTTCTTCGGTTTCTCGCAACACTTTCACTAGTGCTTTCCTTAGCTCGTCTAGCTTGGCGTTTTTACTAACCTCTTGTTCTCGGGCCAGTAACTGCTCGATTACCTGGTCTTTACTCAACCTGTACACCCAACCGACTTTTGTATCTTTTGGTTTTTTATCGGCTTCACTCATGAGTCACTGTAATTATTTAGCACTAGCACCCCCGTGGGTTTTTCGTCTTTATTTTTTATAAGTATATCCTCGTCGCCACTGTAATATTAGGTAATAGTAGGTGAAATGAGAAATGACCACACAAAGCACTAGAGTATAAGTAATCAAAGTTTATTGAATATGTAGTGAAAGAGGCTCACTCGAGGCAGTAGCTTGCTCCAAGTCTGCGAGATAACTGACTCGCCTGGCTCGTCGCTAATCTTAGGCTACCTCGTGTGTTTACATACATTACACTAAGTTGATTATGTCCAAATCAACTTTTCACACAAATATGCACAATCTCACATTAGAACTTGAACCCAGTCTTCTACCTATTCACTAACTTTCATAAAACATTAATCACTGGATCTATAATTGGAAATAAAATCACTCAAAATTGATCAATTATCACTAATCTTGTTCATCACATGCAACATACAATAATATACATGATATAGTCATAAACACATACATAAAGTACAGTGCGAGCTGGAAGCGATAGGATAACCATAAGTAGGAGCCCGAGGCGAGGACTCACAAGGCTGGCAATAGATGAAGCACAACACTCCCATGATGAAGTCAGAAGCGAGAACACACTCACAAGAGGGCGCCAGATGCGGGGGCCTAGGCTCCACCAGCACGCATGATGGCGCCTGAAGCGAGAACCACACTCGCAAGACGACAACAGAAAAGGAGGAGTATCAAAAACTCACGGAGACTCACAGGGTAGCGCCGGAAACGAGAACCACACTCACAAGATGTAGCCGACAGAGCAAATTGGGCACTTGCCATCGGCGGCAGAAGCGAGAACCACACTCACAAGATGGCACTTGACAGCGAGTTCTAAAAAAAGATGTCCAACTCAGGAGGAGATGCCAGCAATGTGTGACCACGCAGTAGACGGCTCTGAAAAAGGGGATATGACAATAGATGATGGCATCGTGCAGGATCGGAGGTTCACCAAGCAGAAAAAAGATAAGTCCCTGAACCCCTAATCGTCGCATATTACTATGGGACGGATGGGGGATGTATGGAACACAACGACTAACAGAAGTAGCAGAAATGCTCAACTAACACCGGCCTCACCGAAGCAATGCCTAACGGCGGTGAGTGTCCGAATGGGGTGGAGTAGAAAAAAAAAGTACAGTGACATACATATAGACTGATGTATATATGTCAATTTACATATGTACTGCTGTATTTCTTGAATTTGTACTGCTAAAAGTGTCACATTTTCATAAAAAGCTATTGAAACATCTTCATAGCTTTATTATGTAACACTATGTCGAGTTGCAAAGAAATAACTTCACTGTACATGTATTTTTTTCTCTTTCAAAAAAATGTAATTTTTAGCCATTGGAAAATCAAGAAGCAGTCAGCAGACTGTTATTGACATTTGATCTGGGCTCGCGCACGAAACAGAAAGAGACAGAAAATATGCCGAAACCCACGAGTGGTGGCGAGTGGTGGCGTTACTGTACACATATAGCCATGTAAACAAACAAATTTCTGCTAGATATACTCTAACCAAAGAATAAAACGAGTATCAATAGATGTCTCGAGATTCATGAGAGAATGACAACGATATACCTTTTAGTTGTTTCAATCATTTTTTCTAAATAATCGTAAAAGTATCGGTACTAAATAGGCTGTACATCACGGTACAGTTGAAATTTTTAAATTCCGATTACGGCACTTAAAAGCTGAGAAAAAATCCTATCAGAAAAGTCAATAAAAAAAATTTTTTTTTTGAGGTTTTAGGCACCTTTCCCCCCTTAATAAAGCTAGGGTAGATCCAGTATATAAATGAGTCTGATTTTTTATATAACACTGTTAACTTTGAATGATCGCATAGGATTATTATGTCACTTATCACTGCATGTGATTGTAAATTGAATAGTTGCTACAACGAATTTTAACAATCATATTCATTAATTATTTTATTGAGTTAATCCATCACAAACTTTGCATTGTCGTTATCGTTTACGAAATAAAAATATTACATCTGCGTGATTAATTGTCTTAATTTTTTTGATTTCATTACTATCATAGCTAAGTTATTAATCAATGGTGAATTTCGGTTAGGAGTTGTGACCATGTGAAAGAAAAAAAGACTTTACATTTAGACTCAAATAAAAGGATTATACTGTCATACTTGCCCCTATTTAAACTTTTGAAAAAAGTATTACCACGGTTTTGAATTATTCTATTGTAACATTTCAGTAAGCTAAAACCAAAAAATTGTCAGTTTGTTCAATACTTGACGGAATTTATTTGATTTCAATAATATCATAGCTAAGAAATTGATTCTCATTTACGATTTGAGATTACCAATTGAATAGTTTAGAAACATAACTTAACAAAAAATATGAGAATGAGACGGACATACTTGCTCATACATGTTTTTTAAAAAAAAATAATTGATGGGATTTCAGGTTATTCGTAATTTAATATTAGTATGCTTATGATGATATTGGTGCTAGAACATCACGACTTTCCGAAGAAAGTCATCGTCGAGTCCGTATTCCAATCTAGTGTGTCGAGCGAGCCGCCCGGAATAATAGTCTCGCGGTAACATCGCAACTTCAAGGAGAAAGTCATTGCCGAGTTTGGATCTCGACCTAGTGCATCGAGTTGGCTACCCGAGACGATATTTGTCCGAAAACTTCGCGACTTCCCGGAGAATGTCATCGCCGAGCCCGGATTTTGACCTAGTGCGCCAAGCGGGTTACACGGGGTGATATTTCCTCGGCAAAATCGCTACTTCCTGCAAAAAGTTGTTATCGATTCCGGATAACAACCTTATGCTCCAAGCGGCTATTCTAGAGAAATATTTTCGCGTGAAAACCGTAATTTCGTGGAGTAAGTCATCTTCAAGTTTCAAGATCGACTTGATGCCCTGACCGTGCTACCCAGGATGATTGCGAGTATCTTGATAAACATGTACATTGTTCAAAACACATACATTTAGTATCTTAACGTATACACATTTAGCCTTATTAATCAATAAAATGGATGATATGAAGTTGGCCGTGAGACTGCGTGAGACCGCGTGAGACCACGTTTTCGTCAGGGATTTTTTCTTTTATCACTCCATACTTGCCATTCGTAGCGTGACACGTGCTCCTCGCTCCAAAATTAGAAAATGAAAGTGATAGAGAAGAGAGACAGGATAAAAGTTGAGAGTAGGGGAAATACTACCACAGATTATACTGATACGGAAAACATAAAAATAAAAGTTTAAGGTTCTTTTTTAAGTTTAAGGACTAATTTTAGGGTCAAGATGACACCAGGGTGAGTTGTCGGGATTGAGATGATACAGGACGAGTTATGCAAGAGCAGGTTGTCTGGCTTCCTTTAGTTTCATTGCACATAAAAACTTTCTTTTAGTTCTTTTTATTTTCAGAAATTATATTTTATCATTATAATCATTGTGACGACCACGTGTGTTGCCGCACGAACACTCGTCTGCTGCTCGATCGGCTGATCGAGCCGCGGAGCAGACGAGCGCGCCGCTGTAGGCCCCACTTTTGTTACTGAACTTTTACGACTTATCATTATAAGCCACCACCTGATCCCACCGTTACATCATAATTATCATGTATAAAGCATTATGAGAAATTTTTAAAACAGCTTTTTCCATTATTTGAAAGCCTCGTTACCCTATAAATAGCCTATTTATATTTTTAAGTCAAAAATAAAGTGTTAAAAAATTAAATATAGAAACTAAAAACATAATCAAGATAAATGCGAGAGATTTAATTTCAATTATAAGTATATTACCTTTCAAAATCATCATCTGTTATATCATATTTATTAGCTTCAGTATCTTCAGTAATAAATTCTGAATTTTCATCAGATTTTTGGCTTTTGAAATGACCCCTTTTAAAACTTTCTACTCTTGAAAGAGGTTGAGGAACATTAATATTTTTTTCTCCTCGGATATTACCAATTACATTATCTGGATAATTAGAAACTTTACTAATATCTTGATGATCTAGCTCCTCTCTTAATAATGATACGTATGAATCCGTTTGATTTGATAATGAAAAATCAAGAACGCTACTTTCAAGTTTTTCAGTTGAATCTGATTCAACATCGCAGACATTTTCTGGAATCATTGGATAGTCTAATTGTTTTGCATTGATATTTTCCTGGTTTTCATGAGCCATTGCATTCTTTTTCTCGGATGAAGATTTATCACAGACTGCTTCGATTTTAGAATTTTCTGACTTTTCCGTTGACTCCGATATGTAGGCTTCACTATTATTAAACCTATGGAGCTCTTCAAAGTTTTTCACACCACTAGAGCTTTTAAAATTTTGATTACTGCTTGAACATTCATACTCATAAGCTATGAATGGAGTTTCATCGGAAACAAATGATTGATCTGGTAAAATAGAGTCAGCAGATTTCCTAGACTGAGATGGGATTTTAATATCTTCTTGTATGTTATTCATTTCCGAATGTGACGATTCTTCTAAATACTCAGCCTCGTCACTCTTACTCCAAAAATTGGCATCACTACAATCTGATAATAAAACGCTTTCCTGCTTCTTTTGTGTATTGATTATAAAAATAGTATCACTAGAAGCTTCTGAATCTTTAAAATGGTTTATATGATCCAAGTTTTTATTATTATAAAAATTTAAGTCATTTTCATCTTTATTCGAAGTGTTTGAATTTTGATAATTTATCAAATGTTCATTCTCTACTTCATTCATTTTTGAATTTTCTTCGTGATTACTGTAAGAGATAACATTTTCCTTACTGAGAGAATTGATGTATAATTCATTTTCTAAATAACTTTCATTTTCATGAGTTGGATCAGTACCATACTCTCCTTGGAATTCTTGATCATAAACAGATGTTATTTGATTGTTCACAACGTTGTAAGTATTTTCGTAGGAATTATCGTCGTATTTATTTAAAATACTGGCTTCATTATGCGTTATTGTTTGATCATTCATCTGCAGGAAAGATGTGTTATTTACATCACTGTATGAATTTATTTTATTATCAAACATTTCATTTTCATTCGTAAGAAAATCTTCATTATAATAATTATAATTACTAAAATTATCGAATAATGGTGGTTTCGAAAACTGATGTAATTCCGGATTTAAATTATGATTTGAGGATACTGGCAAATCAGGTAACTTTTTTTTCTTCTCATCTTCAAACTGATTGCTGTAAGAAAAAAAAATAAGTATAAAAGGATGCATTTCAGTACTATTTATCAATATATTTTGAATTTGATTTTATTGGAAGCAGTAAAAGTTTAGTTCAATTACGCAGCCACATAAAAAAGTTTGTTCATGTCCAGAAATCAGACCTAGTAGACTTAATTTTTTTTTGGATCGTTGAATCCAAACCTAATGTCTGATTTCCTAGGCCGACTATTTTTCAAGGTCATTTGAAGGTAAAAATAAGAAAAAATTGTAAAAAATTGTAATTTTTTCACCTGTGTGAATGTCAAAAGAAAGGATGAATTTATAAAACTCGTGGATTCAATAAAAAATAAGTATAGCTAAAAAGTTGCACAATATTTTAGGTTTGAGGTAGTGATTTTTCAACTTCTGCTTTTGAAATTGCTTGAAAATTACAAGAAATAAAATACTTTTTTCGATTGGCATAGTGACTTGAGGTATATGCATTAAAGGCATAGGTCATTTATTTAAAAGAAATTTAATATCTGGTGTGCAGATTTTTACACTTGTAACGATGAAAGTGAAACCTCTTTACCCTCAGGTCTAGGCACTGCCCAATAACTATTGGCCTCTCCAATACACACTTAAGCTAGTATTGGAAAAAAGACATAGAAATACGTACAGGGATAATTAGCTAAGGAGATAATTATTCCGTGCTTTCGCAATGAGCCTATTACTGCTGAATAAAGTCAGCCGATGAGGAGATGATTATTCTATACCTACAGCGACTAGCGCTATTGTTAGCTGAATAAAATTATCAGAGTTAAGGTGAGGAGTCATTACTAATGACAGAATAGGTTGTGGAAAAGAAGAGGTAAATTAATTGTGAAGTACTTACTTTTCGTGAATCAATAATTTTATTAGAAGTTAATAAAAGAATTGCGATGTATTTGAAGCAGGCAAATTACGTATAGATATAGTATATAAGATAAAGTTTATTTAGAATATATTAGAATATAAGTTACACATATAAGTGCATGTAAACACAAGACCAGCTACGCACTCGGCCACACTCTTAGCCGGCTGGTTACGCAATGTCGCGTACATCGATGAGCTCGGTGCTCATATCGCAGCATCACTGTGCATGCGCAGCGAGTGCTCGTCGCTATATCGATACATCACAATTTTTCCTCTTTTACAAAGTTTAGCCAAAGTTTTGGACTTTCATAATTTGATTTGCATGTCTTTTGTACAATGCGTTGTCTTCATCTTTGACCAGATACGTAGACGGCGCCGTTTGTTTTACAATTTTGCCTTTGATGCGTTTTTCACGCTATAATTATCGATCATGACTCTATCGTTCGTATTTAGCTCGAGCTGTCTGCTACTCGGTCTAGCTTGTATTTGAGCTTTTTGGTTGATCATCACTGTATCGATAACGCAAGGTTTTAATAAGTCGAAACGAGTCCGAAGCTCGCGCTTGTGCATTAAGAATGCTGGCGTTCGTCTAGTCGTCGCGTGCTCGATACTACGACAATCCCACAAGAACATGCTTACAGCTGTATCTACCTTCTCTCCCCCTTTTACAATCTTTGACACCTTATCTTTAAATGTTTGCACAAAATTTTTCGCTGCGCTGTTTGTGGCGGGATAGTGCGTGGGTGAGAGCGAGTGTCGAACTCCGTTCTTTTCTGAAAATTCGTGGAATTCTTTACTTCTGAACTGTGGACCGCCGCCTTTCACACAGTGCAGTGGCAATCCGAACCGCGCGAACAAATCCTGGAATGCACTTACCAGTTTGCATGCTCTCGTGTCAGACTTAAAATCTAATATTTCCGGCCATTTGGGATTAGCGTCTACTATAATTAAGTACATTTTACCGTAAAATGGACCTGCGAAATCGCAGTGAAGTCGGCTCCACGTTTTATCAGGCCAGGGCCATGTTGTAAGCGGCGTTTTTACTTTTACTATTTTTACTTTGTCGTCGTCTATATTTGGTCACCAAACATACGAGCGCGCGAACATTTTAATTTTTACTATTCCTAAATGTGTAATGTGCAATTCTCGCAGGATCGATTTTCTCATTGCATTTGGAATGACTGCCCGTAAGCCCCAAAGTAAGCATCCTTTTTCAACTGTGTATTCCAGTTTTTCGTTATAATATTTTTTTTCCTCATCTGACAACTCGTTTGCTGCCAGCCAGTCATTCATTACATAACTGATTATTTTTTTTAGTGCGTCGTCTTTTTTTATCTCCACAGCTAACATTTTACTATCAAAAGAGCTATTATTGTCGAAAAAATGCACATAGTTGAAGTTTGCTTCATTTAATTGCGTGACATCTTCCACTGGAAGTCGCGAAAGTGCATCACAATTTGCGCTCGCTTTTGACGGAATGTGCTCGATTTTGTGACGAAAACCAGATAGATAGTACGCCAACCGTTGCAATCGGTTTTCAGCCGTTAGAGGAATACCTCTTCTTGGGCCCAAAATCAACTGCAACGGCTTATTGTCAGTACGTAATATTATCGATTGATGAACTGGTAAAATCTTTTAAAGCCAAACACGATGGCCATAGCTTCTTTGTCTAATATGGTGCGATTCATTTCCTTTTTTAAAATTTTCTTAGATGCGTACGCTATTGGTTTTTCGCTTCCGTCTTTATACTTATGCGAGAGAATCGCTGACAATTCGTAGGTGGTTGCGTCGCAAGCTAACAATATCTTTTCGCTTGGATCGTAGTGCGCTAGCACTCTTGGAGAAATCAGTTCATTTTTCACCCATTCAAATGATTTTTGGCGCTTGTCATTCCACACGAATTCATTCTCGCTTAGTGCGTCATAAATCAGCTTCATTTTCTCGGATCTATTATTTAAAAATCGCGCATAGAAATTTACGAGACCTAAAAACAATGCTGGATCTTTTTTATTTGTTGGTTGAGGCGTATTAATCATTGCATTTACTTTTGACTTACAAGGAGAGCTCTCCAAGTCCGGGTCACCGAATGCCCTGAAAATTTTTTTATGATCTCCTAGTACATGATGATGATCCCCCATATAGTTAGTTTGATCCAATGGGCCTTTTAACAATACTTTTACGGATGCTCAAGATTTGAAAATTATTTAACGATAATAAATACCATATAATAGCCTATCATGGTATCAGGCTCAAAACAGTCAATTCCAACTGACTTAACAGCATTGTTACTTTGTCTTTTTCAAGTTTTTAAACAGTTATTCAAAAAATAAACACTGTAGCTCAATTGGTATAATATGCAAGTCTCAAAGAGCGAACCAATTTGAGCTAAAATTAAAATACTTTACTATAAGTATTGATGCAAAAGATTGAAATAAAACTTTTATATTATTAAACTCACTGTTCCTTCTTTTTCATCCATTTTTGACACTTCATTGATTATGTTTTAAGTGCCAGATTACCTCATCAATGATGCTGGAAGTCGCCAATGATAAAGATAAATAAATAATGTGATTAGGCGATGATACAATCAGTTATGCTTCTTTTTCTTTTTCCCAATGAAAGAAATGCCGCCTTGCAATTTTTTAAATATATCGTCGATTAATGGCAAAGGATACTTATCGATTATTACTAACGAGTTTATGGTGATTTTTAAGTCCCCGCATATACGAATATTACCGTTGTTTTTGAAAATTGGTACTATAGGAGTTTCCCATCTGTTTATTTCTACGGGTTCTAAATGTCCAAGTTATACCAATCGTTCTATTTCTGCTTCTACTAATGGTCTTAGTGCGTGTGGCACATGTCTGCATTTCCTGGCTATTGGTCTCACGTCGTGCTTTAAATGAATTTTAACTTTGCTTTAATTATAAAGCCCCCTTGAATCTCCGAATAAATCTTTAAATTTATCAGTTAAATTCTTTCTGATACTGTCTACACCTATTTTTTTTACGTTTCTGTGCGTGCTATCTGTTTCGTCAATTTTGAAAGGCCATAGCCCGAGTTCCGAGAGCCACTGTCTACCAATTAGCGGCGGTCCCGCTCCCGGCAGCACGTAGCATTCCAATTTACGCGTCTTTTCTTTATATTTCACCGTCTTTACGAGTTTGCCTAGTGGCTTTAACGCTCGTTCATCATATACTTTTTAGCTTACTTCGGTTTTTAACAGTGATTTATTTTGGAATTGATTCTTGAACGTTTTTTCCGATAAAATTGTCGCATAAGTGCCTGAATCTATTTCCATAAGTATCCCTGTACCAACAATAATAACGTCGAGGAACAGTGGTTTCGCGTTTATTTTATTTATGAAATTTACCTTATCGCTATCGTAATCGCATATATTAAGCGGAAAAAATTCTAGTTCATGCGATTTATCTTCGTTTGTTGACTCGTCGTCGTCTTCGAGCAGTTGGATTCGCTTTTTGTTGCCGCTGCTGCCTTTCAATACATATTGCAGATGACCTTTCTTGTGGCATCTCCTGCAGATATAATCCTTGAAATGGCAGTCGTTTGCTAGGTGATTCGCTCTTCCGCAACAATAACACTGACCTCATGACGATGGTGGCGGCTGCACGTAGTTTCTTTCGGATTTTGGATGCTTGTATTGCTTATCTTATAAAGCAAACACTTCTTTTGTATGTTCCGTAGGTTTAAAAGTTATAAAAACTTCCGTTGCATTTTTACACGCGATTTCTCGTGCGTGCGCTTCTTTGTACGCTGCATCAAACTCAATGTTTCCGTTTTTGAAAAGCTCGATTTTCGTGTCTTAATCTTTAAACCCGAAGACGAATGGGTCCCGCAGCAAGGCTTTCAGATTCGGAAATTGCAATGGAGTGCTAACTTTTTTAATCTGGCCGCGAATTCTTCAATCGATTCTTCTTCATTTTGCCTGGCCTGATTGAAAGTACACCGTTCCATTATTTCCGATGGTTTTGGATTTAGATGGCCAGTCATTGACTTGGTAATTTCGACATACGTTTTTTCCGACACCTTAGCGGGCTACTAATTGTCGTACTAGTTTGAAAGCGTCCTCTTCCAGGCGTGTAAGTAGTGTTGCTGCTTTCT